CTAGGACCCTCATCCTCGCTTTCAGAAGATACGACATTAGGATTAACATTAGCTTGATTGACATTCAGATTAGCGATTGCTTCAGCCATAGTATTGATTTGTTGTTGCAAATTATTTAATTGATGTATGAGTTGTTGCAAATCCCCTTGATTATTAGCCATAGGACGCAAAGCAAAGACACACAAAATGACTTGAAAAAAAAAAGACTACCCAAGCAAAGAACTTGCTCTGATACCAAAATTGATGCAAACAAATTAGAGCAAGGCACAAAGAGAAATCAGTCAAGAGAAACAACTCTTACTTTTATAAAATTAAGACATAACTTAGAGAACAAAAGGGATTAGAGAAAACAACTAGCTTAAGAAAAGATAACTTCCAACAACAAAAACAAAAGAAGATCAAAAGGAAAACAATATTTTTAACAAAAAAAACTATCCTCAGAACATCCTTCAAGAGGACTCCTCACATGTACCGATTGTAGGAATATAATTTAAAATAAGGTTTAGATATGCAAACCAAGGGTCCACCACAGCTAGGGGTATCCAATGTCCCTTCAACTTCTCCAAACAGCCAACAATCTTGCTAAAACAGCCAACAAACAGCCCACGGCTTTACCCAAACAGCCAACAAAAACAGCCCACGGCTTTACCCAAACAGCCAACAAAAACAGCCCACGGCTTCACCAAAACAGCCAACAATCTCACCAATGGAACTAGAAGAAAGATACAGGTGGAGTGGAACTTGCGTAGAGAAGAAGGAGGTTAGAAGACCGAGAAGAAAGAGGAGAAGCTCGCAAGCTTTCCTAGGGGAGAAGGAGAATGGAAAAAGCTCTCAAGCTCTTCCAAAGAAGAAAACCCTCAGGTTTTTTTAAGCACTTAGCTCTCAAAATATTCAACCAACGCTTCTATGATAAAGCATTTCATATTTATAAGCAAAGAAGAAAGCCCAACAGCCAATGCACCCATAATTCCTCCAATAAACTTTAGGGATAGGAAAAGCCAAAAGGCACACATCAGTTCCAAAGCAGCAGCCAGCAACTTTCCAGAAAACAGAGAAGAATCAGATCACGGGACCAACAGCCAGCCACGGAACAGCCAGAATTCACGGGAAAAGCACCGAAACATTAAAGGAACAGCAGGTCCAAGGAATCCAGAAAACGAACAGGCACCCCAAGCAGCCACGGCTGCATAAATTCCAGCCTATTCCTATCCCAATGCCACAAGACACAGCTCTCCAAACAGCCATAAAAGGAAGAGAAAAAATAATAGGAAAAGGCAAGTTCCACTCACCAAAATCTGCCATAAAGTAGTACTAAAACTTCAGCTTATAATGAGCTCAACTTCACAAAATATTAATGAGCTTGCACGACTTAGATCTCAACCACCAAAGCCCAAACCGAAACAAAACAGCCACTGCACATCTACCTCCACCAAATAGCACAAGGATATGTTGGACCCATAAAACCGGCAAACCAAAAGAAGGCAAACTTAAACCATTTTCTACCAATCATGATCACCAGATGTCTTCCATCATTGGATAGCCTAAAAAAAAACACAAAATAGAAAATACGAATATTGTTCAATACAAAATTAGAACAGAAATGTAAATGCATCAATATGGGTGTTAGTATTAACTATTATAGTTGTCTCAAACGCACTGACACTGTCCTTTTTAGAAATAAATGTCATTTTGGAGATTTTGAATTTTAGTAGACGCATTTTAAACAACTTTCGTGCGACATCAAAATTTTCACTTGCCGTTTTCATATTGTGCGGTTGATTCGACTACAAAGCATCTACTAAGGTCAACACTGCCTGATTAATTCACTTAAGGGTAATCAGCTCCAATTTTGAAGTAAACATTTGTATCCAAAAAAGCCTCTCATGTCACTAGCGCTAATGTTCCTTGGATATTTTATGTCTACTTTAGCCAAAGCTCAATTCTATATTTCTTTTATTTCCTTCTCAATACTGTCTAAACATAATCTCCTGTAATCAAGCTGTCATTAAAGCACGAATAGCCTATTCATTGTGTGCTACCAATGTGTCTCTTTGACATTACCTGGAAGTAACAAACCTCATGCATTAAGGAAATTTCTGGTTAAATTTGTATACAGAAGGAATTAATCTATTTCTGAGTACAAATCATGGTGATAAGCTTCATTTAGGTCCTATCCAAAGGTCATGCAAAAAAAAAAACAAGCGATATATTTCAGCATCTACATAATATCCTCGATTCGCCACCGTCTATGATGCACCAACACACCTCTTGAAGAGAGAATGCAGTGTCGAACACGTGTCAGACACGGACACGTGTTCGACATGGCTGGGAGACGTGTTGGACACGGCAGACACATGTCTGATTAAAATAATATTTAAATTTAACCCGACACGGCTGGGACACGTTTCGGACATGGCTGGGATACGTGTCGAACATGGCTGGGACACGTGTGTCCTAATTTTTTATGATAAAATTATTTTAATTAAAAATATTAGATCCAATGAACTATTATGAGAGAGAACTTGAGAAGTATAGAAATTTTTCTTTGTGATTTAGATTAGAGGATAAAGAAATATTATGGGAGAGATCTAACGAACTAGAGAAGTAAATAGGTACAAAGAAGAACCAACTTTCACGATATGATATCTAATGAACTATTGCAAATCTTTCTCTTTATGAATCAGAGTTGGAAGCAATGATATTCAATGATGATGATATTGAAAGACAAAAACAAACTTCTGAAACTAATCTTAGTAGTTGAAGCTTGAATGTTTGATGTTGTAGTAAGTGGTTATTTGCTTATATTTTATGGTCGTACTAGACATTTTGTATTAAATATTTTATATTATAAGCAAGATAAGTTATTATGCTATTCGTTTATTATTGTTTTTTTATTTTTAATATGATGTTACATTAATATCTATACACTATATAAATAAATAAAATGTAATGTCGTGTCTGCGCCGCACCCGTGTCCTATATTTTCAAAAAAAACCGTGTCCTTATCCGTGTCGTGTCGTGTCCGTGTCGCCGTGTCCGTGTCCGTGCATCATAGGCCACCGTACAACATCGTTCAGCATATTCCTTGGGTCATATTGAAGTGCTTATTTCAACCAGTGTCATGAACAACCAAAGTTTGTGAACCAAAGCTAAAATTTTGACAATGAGCTCAAAATTAAAACTACTATATATTACATGTTGGAAGTAAAACCTTCTTTCCTCTGTTGGATGTCAAAAATACCCCTGATGCCATAGAGTCTGAAGGAGGATGATACTCAAGCTTCTGATAAATGTCTTCAAGGTAAAATACTGAAACAGGATGTGTTCTCCCTTCAGCACTAATGACTGGACAGTCACCAAAGTACTTGGAAAACAAACTCGAATCAACTGTGGCAGACCTAAGCAAATAATGTTTTAATTCAAACCAGCATATTGACAAGTTAATAAAGAGCTAATTACATGATAAAAGCATGCCAATTTTTAAGGGAGGGAGTGTAACGGAATAATTAAAGTACATGAGGATGACTTTCAGCTTGCTCTTGCGACTGTTGCAACTAGATTGCCTCTTGATGATGTTTTTCAGAATAATGAGCAAAAAGTCACCCTGAGAAAAAAGAATAGTTAAGTTAGGAAATTGGTCAACTTATAATGGAAAACACTAAAAATTTAATAATGTGTGCCAAACTAAACAGCAATGAAATAATGCTCTGATATACTATTCATTTAGGACTCTCTGATTATCAAAATCTACTTTACAATATAACTATAAACAATTCTCCCAATAGATATCAAAGGACCTATCAATTTTGGAAGCCTCATGACAAATTTGGTCTCCAAATAATGGTCCAAGTCAATTTGACAAGGCACATGAGCTGTAATGAACGTACAAAATCTAAGCAACCAAGAATCAGATAAAAATAGAAGTATATAATGAAGGTTGCAGATGAAGGATATTCCATAGGGGTAACCGATCACAAGCAAAATACGAACTTAAGCAGAAACTTATTCATTGAATCTTTAATGAAGTGTTGTAAATGATTAAAACTGAATTTAACTTTTCTGCATGTGCAAATTTATAATGAATCTCAAAATAGTCATAAGAGCAGAATTGTTTATAACAAAAAACAAAAAGTAAGGAGAAGCTGAGAAGCAAACAAAATATTTAAGAATGGCCATTACCCAGTCATATTTCTGAGAGAGACGTCAATCTCTATAATTGTGTTCATGCATGTTTATCCTCAAATTTGTTGAAGCTGCCGATCTTTCTTAAATACAAATTATTCTTCAAGTTATATTTTCCTTACTGAAAATTGAGTAGAATACCTTTCTCTAGAGGTGATATTGAGTTGAGTTTAAGCGAACCAGCCTAAACTTAGAACCGAATATTTCAATTTCGACTCAAGTTAAGTTTGAGTTGAGTTAGCAATGTTCAATTTCAAGCTGAGATTTGAGTTGATTCAAATAAATTCTATTAATTTTAAAGATCACTAATAATTAATTCTAATCTATGTAACTAAATTCAAAAATAAATTTAAAAAAGATGAATTATAAAATATATTAAACATAAATGCACAAATGTATATTATTCGAGTGTTATATCTAATGATCATATATGTATGCATGTATAAGCATACCCATAAATATATGCATATATGTATATCAAACAAAATTTGAATTGTCCAAACAAGATTTCACAATGATCCCAACAAAAATAGAGTTACACTAACATTATTCGAATCATGTTGATTCTTTCTCTAACTAGGTTCAAACTTGATTCAACAATCTATTGGGTTCTACTTTAGTTTTTCCAGCAATATGATCTCAATGACAAAATTTCAGAGAAAGTTTCTTCATCATAACCAATAGAAATCATTAAAAAAAAATCATTAGAAACATATGTCCATAACGTTTAAACATTAAAAACATATACCACCAATAGGTCTTGAAGTCTAATCCGACTCCTTCACGAAACTTTCTAACCAACATCATGATCTTTATACCTTAGTGTAAGCAGAAATCTGATAGCTAAGTGAGAAATAAATGATTAAATGTATGAAGGAGCAAGAAATTCTAGAAGTCCATCTTTCCAGCAACATAGTTCAAGAGAGCTAGAAGCAATAGAAGTATATCGTTTGAGATTGATATATTTCAAGAGGGATAAATGCTAAATAAGCATTCAAGAGTATTTAAAACAATATTTTCTCACATAAAACTATAATAGGGCTATGAGTCCAACTGGGTTCAGTTTGAGGGATAAAAGTTTAATTTTTTGTAATAAAAGTTAATAGAGGAAAAAATAATATATAATAAATATATATATATATATATATATATATATATTTCAGGTATGTCATACAATATGCAAGAAAATTCTTGAGTCAAAGTCCTATAAAAGGTGTATTTTTTTTTTACGATCATGCACACCCATAAAGTGAAGGGAGAAAATGGTTGTTAAACATCTTATTGAAGGGGACAACAATACTAAATATATCCATGCTTTAGTTAAGAGGAATCGTAATATTAATTGTATTCATAAAATTCAGAGGGTTGATGGCTCTACTAGTGAAGATGTTTCAGAAATTGCTGGCTTAGCCATTCAACATTTTCAGAATCATCTTAATAAAAATTTCACCCCTTCCACTATTCAAAACCCTAATATTATTCCATCTCTTATAACTCATGAGAATAATGTTTTCTTATCTAAGCCCTCTTTGTTGGAGGAAGTCAAAGATGTTGTTTTTGGTATGAATTTGGAGTCGGTTGATGGGCCTGATGGTTTTACCTCCAAGTTATTTCAGGAAACTTGGCATATTATTGGTAATAATATTATTTTTGTTGTTCTGGACTTTTTTATGGAAATACTATTCCCAAATCTTTTACTGGTACTTCCATTATGCTTATTCCTAAGAATAACTTTGGTATTAAAAGTACTGTTCATTTCCTCTCCATATTAATACAATAAAGAAAGCTAACTAACCCTATCCAAAGGACAGCTAATGGATCCACAACCATGAAGAAAAAAGCCACTGAATAAAATAAAAGAAAATAATAATTTTAAAGTAATAAAATAAAAAGGATGGAAAACTAAAAAGCTATTGCAACAATTCTCCTGGTCTTCTAAGGAACTCAACTCTGAGTTCGGTTCAATGCCAATGGTCCCATGGGAGGCGCTAAACTTAGAAACTATCAAACTTGATTTCTTCAAATAAATGCCGCAACTATTGATGATGATCCTGAGAACCGACCGACAATAATCACTCAATTGTCGACGTCCATCCGCCACCTTAAATTTAATTGTGGAATCCATGCAGCATTCATTGGGCCAATAAGCAATGTTACTAATCTGAGACTCACTCGGAGAAATCCTAAGATGCCAGACCTTGTTTTGGTAAATGTGTGGCAACACCACATATAACCAAATTCATAATATTAGCAATCTGCATAATGATTTTGATATAAAAAGGATCTCTAATAAGCATATCACAGTGTTGGCTCAAGAAAAACAGCGCGTTGGCATGAATCCCGCTTTGCAGACATAGGATTTCATTCTTCTTAAGTCAGATTATAGTTAACCAAATTTCGCTGAGGGTAGTGTCAAGGTTTAATAGATTTGGTTTCTTACTTCCCATGAGTGCAAGCACTCATAGTTAATTAACCCTCTTATTGTGCTCTCGAATAGCTGATATCGAGATCAATACTTGGCATTCTAGTAATATAACTCTATTATGCAGTTTCTTAATGGAATATTTAATAATTCTATTGTATTTATTTTAAAGTGATTAACTATAACTTCAAACAACAATTTTTACTACAAAAGTTTCACAAGAAATTTACTCAAATAGCAACAACCGCCCCAAAACAAACTTGAAGTTGAGAGTTGAGAAGGGCATCTATGTTGGCTCAAGAAAAATGCCATGAATGCATGAATCCCGCTTTGGAGTAGTAGGATTCTATTTTCCTTAAGTCAGATTGAAATTAACCATATTTCCCTGAGGGTAGTGTCAGGATTTAATTAGATCTGAGGTCCTTACTTCCTATGAGCGTAAACACTCATGGTTAATTCTCCTCTTAACATGTAAGAGAAAACTCTCGATTAAGGATAATTTAGTTGTTTAGTTTTAATTGTGAAAAAAATGGAGGTAAACCAGATAAAGATCCCATGATTCCATCATCTCTGGTATACCGTAGTTTTCAGTCTACCAACACTACAATCATTGACCGTAGTATCCAGGGAATCTGATTAGGAGCCATGGGTTATCTCCTCTTAGAAATCTCTAGTAAACTGAAGTGGTTAAATATGGATTTTAGTTTTATTGGGTGTTTTGAGGTTTACATCTATTAGAATACTCATAAGTTGATTTGATTTGGGATTAATGACTTCATGTAGAAGTTACCAATAAGTTTGAATTTAAGCGGGTTTTGCGGCTTCTATTGGAAGTAGCCCAGGTATTTGAATTTGGGTCGGGACTTACAACTTTCACTAAAAGTATCCCGTAGATTTAATTTGAAGTAGGACTTATAGCTCTATTTATGAGTTGCCCAAAGATGAGTCTTATAGCCTAACTCTACAATAAGGTTGTCGGAGATTTAATTATTTGGGCAGATCTATAACTTCCCTTAGGAAGTTGCCTAAAAAGAGGGTCTTACAACTTAATCCCTTTAAGTTAAGATGTCCAGGAATTTGAATTTAATTATTTGGGTTTTAGAGTTATTGCAATTTATTTAGCAATTTTTCTAAAATATGGGGCTTATTACTTCCCTTAGAAGTTGCTCGTTGGCAGGTCTTACAACCTAATCTTATAGACTAGGATGCCCATTGCATTGAATAACTGTCAATGCTTTAGTATATTTTCCATAGAAACCATCATAGAAATTCAAATTGCTTTCAACATAGGATTAGTATCATAATTATTGTATTTCAAAGCATTATTTAAAGATGAAATTCTCTCTTGAGGCTTTTGCCTTGATTTTTCAACAAGAGATGCCCGTATATTTTTGTTTGAGTTTGATATTTCATTTAGAAATTTCTTAAACAATAACTCTCACGACTTTTATTAGAAGTCACCTAATTATTTGGGTAGAATGGATCTTACTGCTTCCCTACAGAAGTAGCTCATTGGTTTGAAATTGATTGTTTGTTTATTTGAGTGGATACCAACTGTTTGAGAGGTTTGACACTAGTCTCTTGTTTTCAATGTCGTTGTGTGACGTTAGTGGTTTTTGCTACAGTACTTTTATTTTCTTATTGTTTGGTATCTTCTTTTCAATGCTAGTAGTTTACTTTTCCTGTAATAATAATTTATTGTAGTATTTTCTATTTTAGCATTTATTTTGATATTAAATTAATTCAAATGCTTGATGAGTTTTACTTATTTGTTGCAGGATCTCATACATGAGAAACTTTGAAGAGCTTACAGAGTGTGTTATCTAGAGTTATGTGTTGTGGAGAATCTTGTACAGGAGTTTGTAGAGTTTTGTTGAGTTATGTTGTTGTTTGGAGAGCTGGTTGAGTTGAGAGCTATCTAGACAAGAGTTTGGAGAGTTTGAGAGTTTGAGTTGGAGTGATGATTGAGTTGAGTTTGGGTTGTCTTGAGTTGATTTTGAGTCGTATTGGTTGAGTTTGAGTTAAATTGTTGAAATGATTAGTGTGAATATTTTTATTATACATTTTATTTCATTTTAAATTGGTTGGTTCAATTTTTAAGTTTTAAATTAAATAAATTTCAAAAATTAAGTATTTGAATTGGTTTAAATGTTTGAGTAACTAAAATTCAATTTTATTTAAAGTTTGTTAATTTAATCAAATTATTAAATTTACTTTGATTTGAATGATAAATTATTGGATTAATTTCAATTTATTAAGTTTCAAATTTATTTTAACGTTTGATTAATTAATTATGATTGATTAATTAATTAAATAAGATGATTTAGATTTGTTTGGGAATTAATTTGAAATAATTTTTATATTTAAATGTTAAGTTTTAAAGTTGAAATTTTCTTTTTTTTAATATTATGTTTTGATTATTTTAATCAATTTAATAATCAGATTTCATTTTTATTTTAAATTATTTAATTAAATTTAAATTTAATGAATTAGTTATTTTAATTATTAAAGTTATGACATTGCTCTCCAATGGCAGTGTTGCTCTCAAATGGCTCAAAAGGCAACTCAGTAATATTCCAGGAAATTTTCAGCAGCCTCCCAGTGTCCCCTCCCCACCGAGAAAATCGGGATAGCATTTGTCGTAATTTCTTCCTACCCGGACCTAAGGTCTACGGCGTAGGATCTTTTAATTTAAGTTATTCTAGGCCGGATCTAAGATATGACAACCCGGGGTCTTCAAATTTAAAATCATCCGCTCAGATGAAAATTCACGGCACAGGTCTTCAATTTTAAACTCATCTCACCCAAATCAAAGATCAATGGCGCAAGGCCTTCGATTTGCATATTCCTAGCCAGATCTAAGATCAATGGCATAGGCTCTTCAAAAATTTGGATGCCTGTTTGTCATAACATTTAAATTTTTTTAAAATGTCGACTATAGTTATTAGCATACTACAAAATCAACTGTTCCTTCAATCTGCATCTCTGACTGAAAAGGATATCTCATGGCCAGAGTTCGGAACAAAACACGAAGCATAAGAGTAAAGCCATATAAAGCTTTTCTTAAGTGATCAGTCGAGTGGGTGTATATGCATAATGTTGTTTGACTTTCACATCTTATGTACTCTTGTGCGGATCTTTTACCAGAGCACATGAACGGAAGGGGCAAAGCGGCACGAACTGGGCTCGTCGCTTGGGAGACGAAGGCTAGGACATCGAACTTAAGCAGAGTCTGGGTCGTCAGGTGGATGGATCAAGTAGAGGGGGTCAGCCGCGTGGGGGGCAAAGACAGGCGGAGGGCTCGAGCGAGTATGGGAAGGGTGGCCGACGGGCCTAGCTTCAGGCATGTAGAGCCGAGGCGTTCGCGTGGACGAAGCAGGGCAGACAGCTGGAAGGTGGGCTCGATTTCATGGATTTGGGCAAACGAGTGGAAGGTGGAGGCATTGGGGGCTTTGACTTTCCCTGTCAGCATACAATACAGAGAGACGAGCGAAGGAGGAGTTTTGAATGAGAAGGAGCAGTTTGGGGGAGGTTTTATACTATGTGGGAAGTTACGAGAACGAAGAAGTGCGTCGTTTGGGCATATCGCGCAAGGTGGGGATGGCAGAGACAGGTGCGTTTCTTCGCATTTGTTCAAAGCATTCCTTCTTTTATTTATATATATATATATATATATAGTCAACAATCTAGAAAACATCTAATGAGCCAAAGTTCCCTAGCCATGGCATACAACAATTATCTTGCTTCTAGAAAAAATTAGCTAGCCTTATCTCTTTGAAGAAATGATTGGAAAAAAAATCTCCCCCACCCACATACCCGCTCTACATCAGTTTGGTATCAGAGCATGGTTTCCTGAGATGCGAACTCGACGGAGTCGAGCTCTTTTCCAACCCGGGAGAATGATGCGGGCATCCAACAATATACAATATTCATAGGAAGAGTCGAAGATTGAAGGCCGAGATCACTCCGTTTTATTTTTGTTTATTAATTGCATTTTGATTTAATTTTGCAATTTTCTCTTTTTATCCATTTATTTAAGAGTCTTGTCTTATGTAAGCTCAAAGGGCAAATGTGTCTTTTAGTTTCTTTTGAGGCCTATATATAGAGGCCCCTTCTCTTGTATTAGATACGATGAAATTATAAAAAAATTTGTATTATGCACTTGTGTTCTTTTGGGAGGACGTTAGTGAGATTCCTATAGGAAGGAATTGGAGTTTTCACCAGCCGCAGGATGGGTCCGGGCTCGTGGCTTGAAGTCCCTTGGAGAAAGGTAACGTATCACCTTTCAGTCTTCAGAAGAGTCCAAGGCTCGTGGTTTTATCTTTTATCTTGTGTTTCTTTGTTTTTTGTTCCTTCTTGTTATTCCTAGTCGCCATCTTCATCCTCTCCCTACTTCCACCAAACCGGCCTTAGCTCCACCGCCACTCACAGCCAAGCCATAAGCTGCCGTTCCTCCCCTTGGTTTCTCTCCCAACCCCCTTGCCACTAAGCCTTTCCTAAATTAGTTTTCATATTTTAGGTAACTATCTTAATGATCAAATTCAAATCTATTTGAATTTGAATAGTTGTCTAATTTATAAATCCTATTTTAGAAAACTAACTAACTAATAACCTATTTAAATTTTGAATTAAATTGGGATGAAATCTTTCATTCCTAATTTAATTTATTAATTTAAGAAAGCTTTAAATGCCTCATTAAACTCCCTCATGTATTCCCTTCATTTTCTTGAAAAATTATTTTGGGAAATATTTCCTTTCAATTCCCCCAATCCAAATTTGAAATTTGATTTGTTTCCTTAAATAGGATTTTATTTTAGGAAACTCCTCCAATCTAATTCAAATTAACAAATAAATTAGATTGGAATTAATTTCCTTTCCTTAAATTGGGATTCCCAAAGAGGCAAGCAACTAAAGCTTTCCTCAATTCCCCCTCTCCTTCCTTGAAACCGCCGGCTCCCCTTCCTACCCGCCGCCGCTCTTTCCCCCTCTCTTGCTCTTGATTGAAGCCTACTTTCCTTTTCCATACACCCTCATTTGGGAAGCTTTGATATTACTTATTCAACTCAATTTTGAATTTTGAATAAATTCCTAAAATAGATCGATCTATTTTAGGAAAGCCTTTAAATCAAATCACAATTAATGACCTCCACTTATGGCTGGCCCCTCCCCTTTCCATATTCCCTCTCCAATTAATTCCCCTCCATTAAGTAATTCTCTAATTGGATATCCCAATATGGAAATTAATTAATTCAAATTCCAAATCTCCCCCACCCCCATACCCGTTCTACATCACATGCCCACGTGTATGCTCCTGAGAAGTATTATTTCAAGTGGCCACAACATAACAAACTGTCTTTTCAAAAGAATCGGATATGTGAAATCCTTCAGAGTATCAAATAATTAAAAAAGCGCTATATTTTTTCCATCAAAGCTAACCACGCTTCCTAGACTAATTTTAGCTTAAGAAAAAAGCATTTCAAGCAAGAATCGGTTCATAAAAGAAACAAATCATGGAAAAGTAGGAAAATAAAATTTGGAAATCATATGAAAGATAAGAAAAACTAACAACTAGTGTAATCAAAAGTCATTACCAGCAAAGAACGCTCGTGAACTTCATCTACAATAACATATGTACCAGCCAGGTTTTTGTCTCCCTGCAAACATCACTCAATCATTATAAATGTTTCTAAATAAAGCACATACATTTATGGATAAAAGATGAAGATGCAACTAAAGATGCTAGCAGTTAAATTAAGTAACCATTGGCTCAAGTCACATAATCATTAGCCATATCCCAACTATTTAAGGTTGATTTTACTAATCTTAATTTTAAGTATTGTCAAAGGTGTTACTCATATTCTTTGCAAATTATCTTGAATAATTTCTATTCATGTTGCCTAAAGTCTACAACTTCTCTTTCCTAATCCTCCAATACTAACTGTATTACCTTCGTTCATTGTAAATGTCCAAACCACCTAACTCAACTAACAGTTATCTCAAGCAAAGTGCCACCTTTTACGAGCTCATTATAATTTTCTTAACTAGTTCTAAATAAGCTTGAAAATGACACACCCATATTTTAATATTTTGTTCAAGCTTATTAATTGGTTTTCTTATTAAGCGATTGCTATACCGAGCTTCAATTGAGCCTAAACAATATATCTAATGCAAATGATTTAAAATATAGCATTATAAATAAATATAAATGAATTTAAAATTTTAATCAAAATTATCTATATGATGTTTAGTGATGTTCAAAGTTTTTTACGAAAAATTAATTGCTATATACAAGTTTTAGATATTAATATGACATTTTCATAATCAATGTTTAGACTTTAATATACATTTTTTTATGCATAGAGATATAATAAAATTGTCACGAGAAATAAAATTAGTCATTATACAAATAATTAAGGCATTATTAAATGAGCATTTTATTTGAGTTCATAATGAGCTATTTTTAACGAATAAGCACGTAAAATGACAGAAATAAATAAACGAGCAAATCAAAGTGCAAGCTTATTCAATTATGTATTATTTGAGCTTATTAAATCATTTAAATTAACAAACATAAATTTTGTAATATTATTTACTTAGTCTCAAAAAAATTTTTGTTATAACATTTTATGAATGGAGAATGTAAAACTCTACCAGAAAATCTGAATGTAATGTAAAATAAATAAGTTATAAATATTTATAATAGAGTATATGCATTTAAATACTTTTAGAATGAAACTAAAAATTACAGTAGTTTATAAGAGCATTTATGATATTATTATGAGTTATATATCATATTGATATTTAATTAAATTCATATTATTAAATAAACTGAATTATTCAAAATATTTAATTTAATTGTGTGTATTTATTTACATATGCGTAATAAAATAAAATATGGAGGATAAATATTATTTTCTTTTAGTTGCTAAATAATTGAAAATAAAATAAATAGAAGTAAAATGTAATAGACTAAAATCAAATGAATAAACATTAGGATAAATAGAATGACTAAAAAAACGATATTTTAAAGTATTTTTCCGATCAACCAGCTTGAATTAGATTTCAAAAATGATCTCATGGGTATATATCCGCTCCCCCAAGATTTATAGAAAAAATACAACTCTTAATAAGGAGTTATAACAAAATTATCCACAAGTCATTATTCAAAATCAGGATTAACTATAGGTATTCTCATGAGTCTTTCTAAGAGTCATACATGCATGATTTACTTATAATACATTTTTAAACCCGATTTTATGAGTTGAATTCTAACACTTGGAATTCTAAGCAACCATTAGAATTCAAAGATAAAAACTTAATATGATGGAAGCCAATGAACGGTTGAGATTATTTTTAAAACTAAATGGCTAAGATTTTAGATTGGTAAAATCACATGCTATTTTTTAGATAATAGTCTAGATAATATGATATCATGGAAGCTTGAAGACAAATTTCATAAAATCCTAATTAGGTCACAGTGATGTTGTATAGATCCAAACAATGAGTTGTAAAAAAGTCATTGATATATAAATTAAATGCGGCGGAAATAAGAATGTTAAGATGGTTGTGTAATAAACCTAAAAGGATACATTAATGAATGATTATATTAGAGGAGGGTTTTGAGTGACATCTAGTAAAGAAAAGGGGATTGAAAGTAGATTTTTGTGTTTCGGACCTGTAAATAAAATGATAGAAACGCGCTAATTTAACAAGTTGATTAAATTAGTTTTCGAAAATTGGGAATGAAAAGGGATAAACTTAGGGCTACATGAATGAAAATTGTTCAAAATGTTTTGCGAATAACAAGTTTAACACCTCAAGTAACACTCAACGTGAACAAATGAAAAATAAGGATTCATAATGTCAACCACAAAATAGTTGGGATAAGGCTAATGATGATGATAATAATTAAAAATGATATTCAAGATAATGGACAAGATGAATGTAAATGTTTTTTGTTAAGAATATAGAGAAGATGCGCCAAAATTTTTATCTAATGAAATGAATCTAAATATATAAAATTGGCAAAACTTGGTGCTCAAATAAGCATAATACAGCATCTTAATATAGAAAAACAGAGCATAAGAACTAGGTTTGCATTCAAACGGACCCTTTATAATTAACAATTTTGCAAACAAAGGCATACATCTAGCAGAGAAACTGATATAAATAAAATAAACAATTACATATATGAGAAAGGCACATTTGCCAAATTAATATTCTAGATAGGATGAACTTACAGCAATTTTCCTAAGAAGGATGCCTGTTGTGCAGAAAAGTAGCTTTGTCCTCACATTCCTAATTTCATGACCACATAAAAGTTGCTTTAGAAGCGCATCAGAATCGCTCCAAACTTATCAGTATTCAAGTAACAGATAAATCCTAATAAATTAAAGTAATTATGATAAACTTCTTATGAAAAGAGGACTGCAACTTGCAATACAATTGGCTCATCCAAATAGAAATTAATGGAAAATTCAGTAGCTTTTTGCAAATAAATAAGGAATTTGACATGACCAAAATTAGCTCAGGAGATATTTTCAGTGAATTTTATTTGGCAAAAATGAATTCAGCTCTATTTCTGAACTTCTAGTAAATGGGGCTTTCAATTTTTCAAAATTGTCATTTTGGGCCTTGATTTTTATTAGCACGTCATTTAGTCCTTTAGACAGACTGGGATATTATTTTCCTTTAAGCATTTACAACTGGCCCATTTTTGAATTGCTTGCGACAAAAATATCCTTGTTCACAGAGAAAAATAAAGATATACATATGCACAGAGAGATAGAAGAGACTGGCATAGGTACAGTAAACAGCCTAATGAAGAGAAAGTATGCTATGATACCAATTGATATAGAGAGATGCAATGAATGATTTTGGAAAGCATCAAATAGTTGGAGCAAGATAGAAGGAAGAAAAGAAAAGAGTCAGGCTCACAACTTAAGAGAGGGAATCATGCCAGGTATCCTTTTTATTCCAAATATCATAATCTTTATTGCATGACCCTTGGCCTCTATGTATAATAGAAGAAAAAATTAAGACTAAATAATTAACTCAACCTAAACTGATAAATGACATTATTTCTCATCATATATAAAAGAAAGATCAATAATGAAGTAATAAAAGAAATCTGATGATAATGACCTTTAACAATAACTTCATGATCTAGTTAAAAGGCCCAACAAAATAAAACTAAATACTTAAACTCAACCTTAACTAACAAATGATGCTATTTTACATAATGCTTAAAAGACTAAGGGAACTACTAAGAGAAATATAATGATAATAACTCGTACACCTCTAATGAGGACTTCATGATCTAGTTCAAAGGTTTCCTATATGCACAAGCCCCTTTAGTTAATTAACTATCTTAACCATGAGAGCACTTTTTAGATTAAGACTAGTCAACATGTTCTACACATTACATTTTTAGTGGAAAAAATTTGATTTAAGAGAAGTATGTCATTGTCTTTTCGAGAATAGTGGGGAATTATGATGAGTACAACCAAGATCTAATGGTCTCATCATCCCAAGTTGTCATAGATCTTAGCCTAGCTAGATAATGGAGGAAGACAAAACATGAACAAAAGATCCTTATCAGCAATCATGAGATGCATTGTCCATGAGGACCTCTTAAACCTAAGATGAAAGTTAGTTGAAAAGGTGAATTTAAAGCTGATATTTACTAATCTAAGGCTTTATGCCATATTAACTACACATTATGGAAGTTGTATCAAGAACATCTGGGACTCGGTCTTAGCCAGAATACAATAGTGTCTTTAGGCTAATCACACTATCAGAGAGCATACACCAGCATAAGTTTTTTGAGTGAGATCATGGGATAAACTTAATATAGCAATAACTCTTTGTGAGCTTTGATCAAATTTAAATTTTTAATCTTTGGAAATTGATGCGAATGATGGATGACTACTCTGAGCGCAAAGCATTCAATTATTGCTTGAGCATTTTGGTTTTTTCTAAATTGTAGTTTCAGGAATGGATTTAAATAGAATTTCGTCTAGTTGATACTTTTCTTTGATAATGTCAATCATAACTAAGAAGAGCCCAAGATTATTTATCTTGGAATTTGAGGGTATTTTTTTAATTAAGTTCCCCTCCGATTATGATTTGCAATAATTGCACCCATAAGGGGGATAGCTTATGCATGTCTTTATGATTGAGAATTTAGTTTTGGTAACCCCTTTATTTAAGATATGTAGTAATTGTTGTAATACCCAAAAAAAAAATCAAAAAAAAAAAAATAAAGGTAAGATGAGCATTTCCCAAAATCAGTCCCTATTTTATCACTCATATAAAAATATTTATATGTATATAGATATTTTAATCTCATGTTCGTGAAATTGTAAATTTTTATTTTGATCCATAATTTTTACTACAGTATAATTTTGCTTCTATATTCATGGGCTAGTTTTTAAGCCTATCTGACATTTCATTAAATGCAGCAGAATTTTGGTTTGCCACTTAAACCTACATGCAATGGCTGATCTGTTATCCTACGGCTGGCATTAAGGGAATAGGTTAGTGGGAAAATCAATAGTATATATTATATGCATATATGAGTTCATATATTAGTTAGAAAAAAAAAAAGGGTTTCCCTTCGTCTCATGTCCTCCCCATCCACC